TCCTTCTCTTCTCAATTTAGCGTCTTAAGAGTTTTCAGGGAAAAGAAGTTACAGACTTTTCTGAACTTGTTTCACAGCAGATTTGAGCTTCCACTCAAAGTGCAGCCTGCTAAGAGTTGCCCTCTCCTGGCAGCGCTGGCTCCTGTGCGCCAGCCTGGCCCGAAGCGGCAGCGGTTTGTCCCTGCAGTGTCTGTCGCAGCAAAGCTGGCCAGGCAGAGCTCATCCCCCTACTCGCTCCTCCTGCTCCCTCTCCTGACCGCTTCCTGAGGCCGCTTCTTGCCCCCGAAGGCCTCGCACGAGCCCCCAGCTGGCACAGAGGGAGCGGGTGCTGGTGCATCCCCGTGGGGAACCTGGCAGCAGCTGGCACCTGCTCCGGCAGCCCTTGCTGGGCTGCTTTGCTGAGAGAGGGGTTCAGCATCCAGGCCCCTGCTCACCCACCCTTCTGCAAGCTCAGGTCATTCGCAGCCCTCTGCTCCTGCCTCTGCGCAGGACAATGCCGTTCCCCACGCTCACTGCTGCACTCCTCCACGCTTCCAGTGACCACCAAAGCTGTATGGGGCTGCTTGGGTAAAAGGTAGTAAGTTTTTTTTTTTTTTTTTTGGGGGGGGGGGTGATTTTTTGCTTTAAGATACTACTTGGATGCACCCCAAGATCAAAACCAAGCCTCCGCTGCACCTCTGTGCCTGCTTATACCTTGCTCCCATGTTTCCATCGCTCCCAAAGTGCCTCCCCTCTGTCCAGCAGCAGCCCTAACCAGAGCAAGGCTTTCCGCCATGGAAGCTCAGCTGTCTCCAGGGATGCGTCAGCCTGTACCACAGACTTTGGCATGGGAGACAGTCGCAAGGGACTGGTTGCTTTCTGCCAGGGAGCTTAGCGTTAACAGGAGGTGAATGTCAAGATGAGCTGAGAGTTTCAGCACAGGCATTCTGGGCTGATTAATGGAGCAGATGGACAGAGCAGCGCTCTCTGGTCATGCCTCAGCCACTTAGAAGATGTTAAAAGAGCAGGCAGGCATCTGCAAGTGAAAAGTCCTTTGGCTTTGGGCAAAGGCAGCCCCACAGGAGCCAGGATTTGCCCGTATCCAGCTGCTCTGCCCCTTGCAGCTGGTCCTACCCCACCATCCCCCCCCCCCACCCCACCCCCGCCCTATTCTCCCAAAATTATTTGTGAAGCACTGCTGAAGGAACGGGGGAGGCATGCACACTAAACTGCCCACTCATCTCATGTGCTGGCAGTGCATTTGTTTGGCCTAGAACACCTGCCAACTGCTCTGCCTCTTCGAGAGATGCCATTCACTCCCTGCAGTCAGCCTTTAATTACAACTTGGTTATTGCCTTGCCGTTCCTCTGATCCTGCAGCTGTGAAAGGCTGCCCTTTAGGCAGCAAGCCTGAGAGCCTCTTCTCCCCTGCTGCAAGGAGCAGATCAGCACTGAGAGCTTGACTGCAGAAGCAGGTTACCCAACGCAGCAGCAGCAGCCTCTGCTGGGACAGCATCCATCCTAGCCAGTGTCAGAGCAAGGCAAAAAGCTCTTCCTTTAATGACATGTACAGGTTACCCCAGGGGACAAAACCATCTACCTAGCAGCGGTGAGACATCAGGCCAGAGGCCTCTGCTGATAGGTTTGCTTCACCAATTCCCCAGCATCAGCAAGACAGCTCCCATTCCTCCTCAGCACTGCTTCTACCTCCCACTGTTAAGCAGCACCCCCCCCCACCCCTTCCTCCTCCTCCAGCAGGAGCAGGAGTACAGCTTGAGGCACAGACAGGGCTGCCCCAACACCCCTGCCAGGCAAATCTGGCTGTGGCAAGAAGGGTGCTGGCTTCCACACCAAGTTCTCAATTGCCTTTGGTCTGAAGAGGGCCAGTTTTAGCAGACAGCACTGCATGTTAGTTTACAAACCCAGCCCTGCCCCTGCACGTTTGGCCTCTGTGAGTGTTCGGTTTCCCTGTGGAGCACCCTTCTGCTGTTCCACCTCGGTAAAGGCAGTGTCCTCCTGTGGTAGAAACGCAAGTTCCTTTTCAGCACAGGCGCAGACATGTTAAGGTTTTTGTTTCAGACAGGAAGGTCTTGACCCCCAAAGTTTGTTTTCCAGGCAGAGCTGCTGCCAGGAGCAGAACTGAGTAGAAATTATCTGCCACGAAGGTGGAATAGCAGCATGACCCTGCACCAGTCAGAATAGCCTCAACCACGTTTGGTGAGCACACTAGCACTGGGCAGGCAATCACGTACACCACAGTACCTATCAGGCGAGAAGCTGAAAAGGGAGCTGCTCTGTTCCTCCTTTCAACTGGACAGTTACAGGCCTCCACGCTGAGCAATAGCAGGCTCCATTTCCACTCCAGCCACTATGGGGTACAGGCAACAAACTACAGCATTGCATGGATGCAAGACACAGGCAGAGTCCAGACTGGGTCAGTGTTGTTCAGTGGCTGGAACTAGAGGAAGGACTAGATACTGTGTAAGGCGTATGAGCTGCACTAGAAGAGTCAAGACCCTCCTCTGTGTAGCAGGACTAATAACTAGCAGAAAGACCAACAGGTCTGAAATTTGCTGGTTACAACACTTTCTGTGCTACATGTGCAATATATTTGTTATGAATGTTATCACAAAGTCAATTCATTCACTAATCTTTTAATCACTGTAGCTAGATGTTCTACGTCCATTCAAGTGACTTTTATTCGAGTGCAATATTTCAATAGACATGTAGTGACCTAGTATGCTTTGTGTTTTAGAGAATCTGTGTGCAGAGCAATGCAATTAAGTTTAAAACCTTGTAAATAAAACAGGTTGCAAACCAAAAAAAAAAAAAAAAGAGTATTAAGCTTGCATTTAATTTGTGTGTTTCAGTATTGTGCATTAGGCCGCCTCAATACAGATCCTGTGTTCTCTGTGCAGGTATTAATGGAGGAGTGGCTCCTCAGTTGTTGAATGCTCCCTGTTAATGCTTTATTGCTTTAACTGTATTAATTTTTTTAGACTCCTGTCTGCACAAAATGCAATAAATGATTTTATTACACCCTTCACTATTTGCATGGGGAGTTTTGACTTCTTTCTAGGGTCTCCATAACCTTTTTTCACTTGGCTGGTATTTCCATAACAAGGAGCAAGCAATGACCGGGAGCAGCAGATTGCAGAGGAGGTGACGCATCAAGAACGGAACAGCTACTCCTAAGTGCCACAGTTGCCATGTGTAAGCTAAATTTCTGACCACCCCAGAAAAGATGCTTTACCTGTCTGCAGTAGTGCAGCTTCCTGCAAGGGCACATGGGCTGCTCTGCTTGACGCTGTCTGAATTGTCTTAATTCACTGCGGGAGAATAAATATCTATGAAGTGCTTTAAAACTAAAGGAATATAAACTGGGACAGACTACAATATCCTTACAGCTGGGCACAGTAAAATTTGCATGCTTTCCCCTTAGCATCCAGCACCAGGCAGCATCTGAAGCAGCTTACCTGGAAGAAGAGAATAACGGCAAATGCAACGGAACAATGCATTCCAGTAGTACTCAAGCTGTTAAGTGTCAAAAACACAACAAAACATTTTTCCTGCCTTTTTATTAAAAAGTAATGTCCTCTTGTTAACAGCACAGAGAAAAAAATGCTACAACACAAACCACCTGGGACAAAAAAAGTCTTTGCTCCATGAACTTTGCTTTTTTAGCTTCTTTCAATCCTCTGCAGGAAGCCTACAGACTGTAAGAAAGGCTGTGCAAAGGAGGACCACATAGAGATGCTTTGTCTTCTGGTATCAAAGTATGTCACTAGTTAAAAATATGGTGAAGGATCTGCCTGAATTTCCACTCACCTCTTCGCTGCAGCTACCAAAGCGTTGAAAAAAACGTATAAAACCATGCTATTGCATCTTGGCACTGCCTCTCACACCTTAGATGGACAGAACATCAATCAAACAGCGAGATGAAGTTTCAGAGGACAGACATTCACCACCTTGTAACCGGCTGCTGCTATTTCTGAGAGAGAGCCAAGAGCACATCAGTGTGGCTGTGGCTGGGCTGTAGGGTGACAATAGCCAACTGCCCCAAAGCAGTATCGTAAGAAAAGGAAAATTATACACCAGATTTAATAAACTGATCTTAAATTTGACTACTTGAGTGCCGGAAAATTGACAGAATATTTGAAATCTCTGCCTTGGCTTGGAAGTTCTCATGTTTCAGATATACCACAGTGCTCAGACCAAAGTTGCCAATTTCCATAAGTTGGGCCAGGTAAGGACTGTGTGTTTGCCTCACTCTGCCAGGGAACGACAGTCCTAGCTACGGAAGGATCAAACTGCACTGTACTTGTTTACTGAGTGGTAGTCAGGCATGCGCTTCATGAGTTCAGCTGCTAGAGCTACCACTGTACTTTTCTTTTAAATTGGCTTATGGGCCATTAAAAAAAAAAATTGAAAATCAAAGAAAAATAGTGCCTGCTTCAAAAGGGTGCGTCTCCAAGAAGGCCCAGTCAGGGTACCGCTCTGCTCAGTCCCGTGTCTCATTTTCTGAAAACCCATAACTGTAGTAAGACCATTCAGTGAGATCAGTCTGCACTGCAATGTGAAGACGCACCAGCTACTGGGAGAGAGGGAAATGCAGGAGGACTGTCCTTGCAGCAACTTGCGGCTTGGACAAAACAATCGATTACCCACAGCAGCTCTCAGCATATCCTGTCACTGAGAAAACAGAGCACAGTTCTCCAGACGTTGCTAACCAGACCAAGGTGAGGAAGAGCAGCGCTAGCAACACTCAGCAGCGATGCCACTGGGAGTAAACTCTCGCCAAAGTGGAGAGGACATGCATATCCAGGGGCATTTGTCCTGTGTCAAGAACAGGAGATTCTTTAAACAGCTATAAGTATGGAATGGCAAAGGGAAGGGGAAAGGGCTTAACGGGTCAGCTTTAATAGTGTCGCTGGTAGGAACCCATAGGTTGCTGGGCTGAGGACCCTGCTCGCCCCTGGGCCACTGTTTGGCTCACTAGGTGGGAGAGTGCAGGACCACTCTGGATAAGGGTGTCCAACGCTTTCTGTACACTAGGGTTGTCAAAGTTGATACCAGAAGATACTGGCCTTTGAGTAGGTACGTTGCCAGGAGCAGGCAGGCGATTTTGGTGCTGACCGTAGAGTGACTGAGCTGGTGGAGGAGCTCCAGGTCTTGGACCTGCATTCCTTGAAGGGCCTTGGAGAGCTGGAAGCTGTGTGCTTGGAGTCTGCAATCTCTGCTGAGCTTGGTTTAAGTTTGCAGCACCTATCTGTGCTGACCGGGCCTGAC